AGATTCTCAGTACCTTAATGTCTAAGGTTTTGTTTTACTTTTTAAAAACAACTTTAGATTCCAGATGTGTTTTTAATACAAGTAAAAAGAATATAGACAATGTTAAGGGTGAAAGAGTAGTGGCCTGTAATTACAAGCTGTAATTTTGTATCTGTTACTTAACAGTTTAGCGTTGACCTTCAAAGAGAAGGAATCTTAAACTCATGTTAATAGTATATGGTTTAATTACTGTATGCTCTTCCCAACAGTTTTGTTCATGTAGCATCTTCAACTAGTTTGTTAACATCCAAATCACTTAAAATGATATATTCCACTTAATTCCTTTGTTGGAGAAAAGCAAAAGAGGCATTATGATGTATTATAAAGACCATAGATTTAATAGCATCATTCTACTTCATTGTGTTATTAGTTATGTAACCACAACTAGGTCCCTCACCTTCAGCAGAATTGTCTTAAATCCTTTTTAGAATAAACTAAAACATAAATAAGCTTTAAAATTATTTAAAATTTCTGACCCTTTCTTATATATAAATTAAGAAAATTAGACTAATCTCCATGGGCTCTTCTATAACTGTAACATTATATGATTATTCTTAGACTGGTGTATCAACACATAAAATCTTCCATGATAGAAAATACTAGACAAAAAAATCCATGTACTGCTGATGATAGTCACTATTAAGGTTAAATTATGTCAGACGTTTTTGTCTCAGACTTTCCTAGAACTTGTACCAAATCTGGGTATCTATCCTTTCACTGAGTGTCTTGTTAGATTTCATGCAAGGGTATAATCAAATTTTATCTGACTTCATGGATATGTCCCAAGTTGTCATTTTTGGTTTTTATTTTTATGTAAAAATGTAACAATTCAACAGTAATTTATATTTATTTTTTAATGTAATTTATCGTGTCATGCATGAAATTTGCCTCCTGAATACTTCTGCTTAAGCAAATGCTAATTGCTTTTCCTAAAGAAATATAATTTGACCATAGTATTCATATATAAATAATCAAGGGTTGAACATTCAGGTAAAATCTCATTATAATATTGAATATCTCAATTATTTTCCCTTTGTGATTTTTAGAAGGATACATTCCTAGAATGTATCTTTACTGGCTAGTACATTGACTGCCACACTAGAAAAAAAAATTTCCTTCGGGCCATGGTGTTTTATTATGAAAATAAAATAAAAACTTCAAAAACAAAACGATCCTTTCTAATTTAATTAAAAATTTAATGAAAAACAAAATATATTGACTTCTGTTCATTAGTCCATGTTTTTAGAATTAGTCAATATTAATTGTAACAATAAGAACATCAACAAATAAGATTTCCATGAACCATCTGCAGGGTTTTGCCTAGGTTTTGCTTCACAAGGCCCCTGGCTCAAAACTAATGGGAGTTAAACACAACTCATATGGAAGTTAATGTGCTAGCTTCCTTTCACTTAAAATGGAAAGACTAAGTAGTGTGGTGAGAAAGTAGGCAGTGAGAGCAACCATACATTGTACCTTTGTCAATTTTTGTGTTCAAGCTTTTGAGATTTTTGTGGTGGTGTTTTTCTTTGTGTTCACTGGAAACCCACTATATATCCAATACCGGGTACTTAGTAGAGAGTACAGGTATAAAAATGAAGGACATTGTCCTCAGGAACTTAGAATATAATTTGGGGAGAAAGGATTTACATGCATAAAAGACCTACATACATGAAACAAGAAAGGAAAAAAATGACAGAATTTAATTAAGCTCTGATTAGTGTAGTATTAACAATAATGAAATCTCTGAAGTGATTGGCCCAAAATTCATAAATGGCTTCCTACAGGAGCTGGAAATAGAGTTGTGGCTTGAAGTTTAAGAAAGTGGAAAGGAAGTTCTGACTCGGCAAACAGTTAAATATTAAAATTACATGGGTGAAGGGCAGTGAAAATATATAGAATAAATTATCTTATTATAAGACTTAAGATTGGATAGGTAGGTTGAAGTGGTATCAGAGGTTTAAACATGAGACAATATATAGTTATGAAAGTATCTGGCTTGTAAGTTTTAAGGGAATGCTAACTTTGTATGTTTGTATGTGTTTCAGGAAAGAGAAAAAGTAATGAAATGATTACAACTTTAGCCAAGAAGCAGAAGACTGATGTCAGCACTGAACATCCTCCCTTTTATTATAACATCCACAGACACAGCATTAAAGGAATGAATATGCCAAAGTACGGTAGCCAGTGAATGGCAAAGTGTTTTATTTTATATTTTAATAATACTGTGATCTAAATAAAAATGCAAGATCCTAATCATATTTTTTCCTTTCCTCATTGCAGGTTAAAAAAGTTTTTGTGCTATCTGTCTCAAGCAGGCTTTCGAGTAAGCCGAACTCATTTTGACCCAATGGGTGTTCGTACAGATGCACCTCTAATGCAGTTCAAATCTATCCTCTTAAAGTACAGCACCCCCACCTACACTGGAGGACAGTCAGAGGGCCACGTCCAGTCAGCTGCCGAAGACACAGTAACTGACAGGGTTGAAATGTCAGTGAATGACAAAGCAGAAGCAAGTGGCTGCAGAAGATGGTAAATGTAGAAAATGTGTTCTCAGGTGTCTGTATAGATGGCCTAATCATTCTCTACACCAACTCTAGTTCTTTTTCTATTCTTTCAATTCAGTGGTGTAAAAATAAAAAGCAGTATTGTTTTCATTCAGAAAATTAGCAGTTTCTAACTTAGCTGGTTTGGGAGCTTTGCTTTTTCAGGTTTTTCTTATTTTAAAGAAAACTTAAAATTTTAATGGAACCATTTTATATGAAGCCAAGTTTCTGAGATCACCCTACTGTTTAATAATTTGGAAATTTTTCACATGCGAAGTGTTTGGAATTTTATGTACATTCTGGAAGCCATCTTTTGCTATTCTTAATCACATCTCTACTTAAACTGATTCATGATGTTTCTTTTTCTGTTTACAGTGCACAAAATGAAGGTAAAGCCTTTGACCTATTAAAATGATTCTGAATACAATAGGAAGAACAGTGTTCTTCCAGGTCACTAATGTATTTCACAATTAGAAAGCTAAAATATGTTCCCATTTTTAAGAAATCATACATCTTCCCACATTGATCTTTTATTTCTGGCTTTTGAGAAACTAAATACTTGCCTGAGACAGAAATACATTTTTTTGTAAGTTTAAGGTCTAGATGACTAAACTTCAAGATTTTGTCAAAATAAATCGAGACCATTGTTCTAGTACAATAGTTGTTCACAAGCACTGAATCCCTGAAAAGGAGAAATTTTGTTACAAATTAAACAGGTTGGGTGATCTCAGGTGCCACCTCAGATAATGCACGTACAATATTCATTTGCTTGGTTGTACTACCTCTCAGAAGTAAAATCTGTCACCTTATGAAGTGAGGGTTTTTTGATTTGGGGCTTGGTATTTTTGTTTCTTTGGTTTGGTTTTTTTGGGTTTTGTGTGTGTGTTTGTATAAATTTTTTGTGTAAGTAGCCCAAGCTAACATAACTATAAAAATTAGTTGGAAAAAAAATCTTGTCTCCATTAATAAATATCATTTTTGCTTCATTTAAATTTAAGATTTTAGATGAAAGGATTTGGTATAAAGTTTACGATTTTGTCTCAAAAATTTAATCCATTTGTTCTAAAGTATTTCTTGGGGGAAGTAACTTTTTATAACCATTAAGCTGGGGTAGGGGTGGAAGTACAGTTATAGTTGAAAGATTGAATTACAGCACATAAGAAAAAAGCATTTCCATGACATATACAAAAAATCTGGGGGTTGGAGGTTAGATAAACATGGAATATTAATTAGCAGAAATAAGGGAAAATCTCTGTGTTATTACAGGATATTCCCAAGAGGATTTTTTTTTCTTTCTCCAATTAATATAATCATACATTTTCAGTAAAACAAAGGAATAGGTAGTGCAAGTTAGTTTCTGTAATGACCATAAAAAATTCTACTCGATAATTCTTATCGGTTAAAATTTTAACTTACAAATGAGCACAAAAAGAAATAAAAGTTATTAGTTACTTCTTTTTTGTTTGTATAATTAAAAAGAAAAATTACT